ATAATAATAATAATAATAATAATAATAATAATAATAATAATAATAATAATAATAATAATAATAATAATAATAATAATAATAATAAATAATAATAATAATAATAATAATAATAAAATAATAATAATAATAATAATAATAATAATAATAATAATAATAATAATAATAATAATAATAATAATAATAATAATAATAATAATAATAATAATAATAATAATAATAATAATAATAATAATAATAATAATAATAATAATAATAATAATAATAATAATAATAATAATAATAATAATAATAATAATAATAATAATAATAATAATAATAATAATAATAATAATAATAATAATAATAATAATAATAATAATAATAATAATAATAATAATAATAATAATAATAATAATAATAATAATAATAATAATAAATAATAATAATAATAATAATAATAATAAAATAATAATAATAATAATAATAATAATAATAATAATAATAATAATAATAATAATAATAATAATAATAATAATAATAATAATAATAATAATAATAATAATAATAATAAAATAATAATAATAATAATAATAATAATAATAATAATAATAATAATAATAATAATAAATAATAATAATAATAATAATAATAATAATAATAATAATAATAAATAATAATAATAATAATAATAATAATAATAATAATAATAATAATAATAATAATAATAATAATAATAATAATAATAATAATAATAATAATAATAATAATAATAATAATAATAATAATAATAATAATAATAATAATAATAATAATAATAATAATAAATTTCTAAATATCATTCCTAATAAAAAATTCAACATACATTCAATTATCTAATTATTTCTTTTTTTTTTTTGTTTTAAGAATTATTCTAAATTATTTATATTTATAACTAAGAATAACTTTAATTTTAATTAACAATAATCACCTAATTTTCTATATGTATCTTTAACTCCTAAATCTATTTAAACCTCTAAACTCCTAAATTTAAATTACAACCTTAGTCACTATTAGAAACAATTGCAACATCTTGTAAGAAAATATATTCATCAAAATCCAAATTTTCTCTGTCAGAAGAACTCAACATGTCAATAGTTTCTCTCTGTCTGAATTTTTATCAGTATTCTATTAGTAAAGAGTTATCTTCAGGTAAGTTATTTTTTATATCTATTTTCTATTGTTGAAATTCTCTTGTAAGTTTTTTTTTTTTTTTTTGAATGCCTCTGGTAGGTTATTAATATTATTATTATTATTATTATTATTATTATTATTATTATTATTATTATTATTATTATTATTATTATTTTAATTTGTAAACTCTAAAAAACTATAGTTTTGATATAAAGTGAAAAGATTGAGTTTGTAACTTGATTTATGCGTTTTGGGTCTTCAATTTTAAGAGCATAATATGTATAATTTTGTTAGTGGCTAACAATGATGAACATTGTAATGACTATATTTTTCATCTCTCATATGTTTTCTCTTTTTACTATTTTGGTACTTGGTGACAATAGTCTTTAAACTGAAATATGCTCTTATTCATGGGTTTACTTGTGTTCTAATCCCTTTATATATTTCTTTATAGATTAATGATGGCTACTTTCCATGATAATAAAGACCATAATATAGTCAAAATTGAAGAAGATCATGGTTGTGAAATTACTACAGAATTGAGTGAAAGCAATCATGATGAATTAGTGAATAGTGGTGAATTTAATATAGTTGAGATTGAATAAAATGCCAGTGCAAATGCGAAGAGTGATGTGAATAATGAGACAATAGAGTTATGTATTGGAATGGAGTTTCAATCACTAGATGATGCTTTAATGTGCTATACTAATTATGCAAAACATGAAGGTTTTGGAATTCGCAAAAACTGCATACAAAAGTCTAGAAAGAATCAAATGGTTATTGGACAAGAGTTTGTTTGTTCAAAAGAAGGTTACCGTGCAAAAAAATATTTAGAGTGAGACAATAGGAAAAAACTTCCATCTGATGAAACACGCATGGGATGCAAAGCCATGATTTATGTATCTAGAAAAGACGAAGACAAATGGATAATATCTAAATTTACTAGAGATCATAATCATGTGCTTGCTTCTCCTAGTAGTGCTCGATTTCATCGAGTTCATAGAAAGAGGACAAAATCTCAAAGGAATTTGATTGACGTGCTTGATGAATCTGGAATTCATCCTAGTAAAATAATGTCAGTTTTGGTTACTGAATCTGGAGGAATAGATAGGGTCGGTTGTACTGAGCGAGATATTCAAAATTATTTAAGTAACAAAAGGCAAAAGCAACTTGAGAAAGGAGATGCACAAGCAATGTTGAATTATTTTAAGGAGTGTCAATCTAAAAATCCAGGATTTTTTTATGCAATACAAATGGACACAGAAGGTCAACTAGCGAATTATTTTTGGGTAGATTCAAGGTCTAGAGTGGCTTATAAATTTTTTGGAGATGTTGTGACTTTTGACCCAACTTATTTGACAAATAGGTATAAAATGCCATTTGTTCCTTTCACTGGAGTCAATCACCATCACCCGTCCATTTTATTTGGTTGTGCTCTATTATGGGATGAGACAGTGGAAACATTTGTTTGGCTATTGAATACTTGGTTAGGAGCAATGGATGGATGCCATCCAAAAACAATAATTACAGATCAAGATACAGCTATAACTACTGCAATTGCAAAGGTCTTGCCAAATACTGCACATCATTTTTGCATGTGGCATATTGAGAAAAAATTTCCTGAAAATCTTAGCCATGTTTATCATAAGTTTGATGATTTTAAGTTTCAATTTTCATATTGTATCCATAAGAAATTTATTATTATTATTATTATTATTATTATTATTATTATTATTATTATTATTATTATAAGTGATACGTACATGATTAATATTTGTGATACGTGATAATTAAAAATAAAAGAATGGTTTTCATTATTTCTAATTAGATAATTAAATATATAATAATTAAGTAACAAATATGTTTTTGGAAAATAGATATATTTTGTTAATTATAAATAAAAGAGTTTCCTAAAAGAATACAAGTCTTGGATATTTTGCAAAAAAAGGACCCAATTAACATTGATTTTATTCTTTAATGATGTGTCATCTCCTCATTCACCGCCAGTGTATAGCATCTATACACTGGCGGTGTATCAAATATTAATCCTTTCATCATTCATAAACATATTTCAGTTAATTGCACATTTCATCATGTATGTAGATTCTAAAAATTAAAGGTCATATATCCATAAACTTGCACATTACAAAATACAAAGAAATCCATAATCAGGCATTGAAGCAAAGTAGCAAACATCTACTTTATAAAGCTCAACATTTATATGGATTTCACACTTAGGGGCTAGGGCTTCTAGAAAATCAAGGGCAATTTAAGCTATTTAAGCTTTAAGCCTTTAAGGGATATATATCCATAAACTGATAAACATGGACAGTTGCACATTACTTTGAAGTCCATAATCAGGCATTCAGATTTCAGTCAAACATCCACTTTAAAGTTTAAAATGCTCATCATTTATATGGATTTCACAAATCACAATAACATAATTAGGGGCTAGGGTTTCCATCAAATCAATGGCAATTTATTAAGCCTTTAAACCTTTAAGAGACATATATCCATAACCATAAACATGCACATATGCTTTCACTATTTCATTATTTCACAAATCACAAACAAGGGCTTCCACAGTTCCACCAAATCAGGAATATGCAAACTGGAAATTTCTCAAAATCACATATTCACAGTCAGTGGACATGCAAACTAAAACTTCCAGTATATCATAAAAACCCCTAGATTGTATATTTTCATTTTTCAGAAAAACACTAAAGATACAACTAAGACAATTAATATATCAATATCAATATATCACACTATCACAGAATAACGAAAAAGTAAAACTATAATATTAGGGTTTTAGCAATTACTTCGTTTCGCCAAAATCATCCCTCCCTAGAGAACAAAAGGGCTTCGATTCCTAGCCAGCAAGCTGCAATCCACATGTCACCACAGTCTACAGGTCACGTATCACTCTCACAATAACTGATTCAGGGGCTAGCGCAGAGAACTCAGATAAGAATCAAAAGATCAGAGAGAAGGGGTTGAAGGGCAGAAGAGAGAACGAGAGAATAATTTGAAAAGAGGGTGACTGTGCAAAATGAGAATAGGACTTCCATATATATACTAAACCTAAACGACGTCGTATAGGACGTGTTTAGGGGGTATTTAATGCCCCCAACCCGACTGTCATTACCCAGCTTCTCGAAAACAACGGGTCGGATAACTCATTTAGAATTCAGCCAAATGAATGCAACGCTTAGTCGGATTTCGAGTCAGGCAATTTTTCAAATTCTGCACAACCCTAATATGCATAATACTATGGATCCTGAATCGAAACGACAAGATACAAAATTCATATTCATAGGTAGTATGTAACTCATACTCTTAAGATACAAAATTTTATAAAACATAAAACACAAAAACTCACAACATAAGACACACATGCAAAAGTCCACAATACATTGTGAACTCTGATCAACAATATAAAGATTGCCCATTGTAGGGCAGGTACATTACCCAATCATTATTGTATGGACCATGGTCTACACAAGTTGTGGACCATATTTTGTCTACTGTAAAATAATGTACATTCAATACAAAAGTAATGTATATTTAATACAAAAATAATGTACATTGTATTCAGTGGATGTATATTATTTTTGTACTAAGTGTACATTATATTGTATAATGTACATTCAATACAAAAATAATGTACATTTAGTATATAAAAAATGTACTTTTTGTTATGGTCCACATAACATTGTGTGGACCATAATTTGCCATAAATGCCAACCTGCAAGTTTCGACCCTAGTTACCAACATTTACCAAAAATTAACCAATTTTTAGACCTAGACGCACAAAAATCAAAAGATAAATATATTTAGTTACTACTTTTAGAACTAATTGACTTGTTACCCTTTTCCCAAGAGAGAATACTAAACTACAAGAACGATTGAGCACAAACTCTGGCAAAAGCTTTAACAAAAACACCCTAAGCAACCGAGATCTTTTAAAATTGTGGAGACAAATAAAAACGAAAAAGGATGCTGGAGTCTAGTGTCTGAAAACAATGCAAAAAGATATTTAGACTGTAGAACAACAAAAAAGTTCTGTATCATTTCCATTCCTCTCAATTAATAACAACCTACTCATCATCATCATCGATGATCGCTGTACCAAGGCCCTTCAATCCTTCGGGTGGGATCTCAGCAACTGTAACAAGAGAATAGAGCTCCTCCTTTGCATCCTCATCGTCATTCCTCTTACGAGCAATGCGAACTCTTACACGCCTTGGGACACTACGGATTCCTCTGCTCCAGATATGCTTGTTCAGCTTCACATCCACTCTCACATCAGTTGTACCCATGGCTTTCTGTGCAAATTTCCTGATCTCCTTGATGGCGTTAGGTGCCTTCTTCTTGAATGTGCTGCCATCAATAAGAAATTTGTATCACATAGACGATAATGGACAACTACTAGTTTAACAAAAATCATAACAGATGTGATACAGAATACAACTAAACTAGCAATTAGTACACCACCTTAGTACCAAAACGAAAAACAGAGAAACTGAGTACAAGAAAAAGTGCAGGGAAACTAGCAAACATAAAAATATAAACATCATGGAGTAATTGGTTACTAGTTTCATTTTAAGAAATGCATTTTTGAACATCTACATTCCAGCTCAAATAAGTTCAATTACATCAGCAGTAATGTAATCAAACAATTTGATAAACCTAATGATAAAAGAGAATCACTAAGTCGACTTTAAGCCACGGATTGCACTGTTACCTAAACAACATGTTTTCCTAGTCATCAGTATACAAAACTTATTTTGGGTATTTAAGAATTAAGACTAAAAGCCTGCAAAGTATCCACTGTCAAGTACATAATTAAACTAGACTCAAGAAATCAGTCAGCTCAAGACTTGGTACTACGTATTAAACAATCTCCTTCCCACTTAAGAAATTTCAAAATCCAGCAAATCAAATATATATATATATATATATATATATATATATATATATATATATATATATATATATATATATATATATATATATATATATATATATATATATATATATCTAAAGCCATCAGATCAAACACAGAAAATAGCGCAACCGCCTAGAAGTAGCCGTTAAAGTGATGAAGCTGATACTGCATACAATCTGAGCGAACTGGATTTAAGGACTACATTTTCATCACCATAAATATAACGTATAAGCAGCGATACAAATACGCATGATTAAAAGAGTGATATAGAGGTGATTTCTGGGATAGAAAGTTTACCATCCGTGGAGGCGCTTGTGGAGGTTGATGGTGTACTCCCTGGTAACCACCTCCTCCTTTCTGGCTTTAGCCTTCTCCGACATTTCCAATCTCTACCTGCATTCGAACTCACAGAATCAAACTCAGATCTGTTATAAAGCTACAAAAGGTAAACACAGAGAAGAGACATAGATCGCTTGCTTACTAGGGTACGGAGCTAGGGAGAGATGGAGGTGCGTAGGAGGGATGGTAGAGTAAAGAGACGCAGAAAAAGAAAGAGAAGACTTCGGAGACGAAAATAAAAACCCTAATATAAATCCAGCATCACATTTGGGCTCAAATGGCCCAATGGGTACACTAATAATCTAACTCAGATTTGCTCATTAATGGATCCAATTATTATTATTATTATTATTAGAAAAAAATGGTCAAATTGACCCCAAAGTCAAACGGATGGCAATTTATATCCTACACCACGGCGCGCGTTGCACTATGCGCCCAGATGCAAAACGACGTCGTTTTAATTTTTTTTTTTTTGGAAATTTTTCGCCCTAGTGAATGGCAGTAGTTTTTTTGCTTTAAAAAAAAAACCCGCTGTTCAAGAATGTACATAATGTTATACTTGAATACACACAATTGTATACATGAATGTACATAATTATATAACAAAATATACATACTCTTTTTAAAAGATAATACACATAATCTAACATAATACTTAATAAACATAAACTTTTAACATAATACACATCAACTCTTAACATAATACACACAAATTTTTTGATTTGGATGTACATAATTGTATAAAAAGAATGTACATAATTGTATAAAAAATACACATAACTGTATAAACCAATACACATAACGTTGTGAACAAATACACATAATGTTGTGAACAAATACACATAATCCCAGCAACTTCCTACCGCGCCTCCCAACACGACCCCAAAACAACGTCGTTTTGGGAGGCGCGCGGCGCACAGTGCTATGTGCGCCGTGGTGTAGGATATAACGATTGCTCATTAATGGATCCAATTATTATTATTATTATTATTATTATTATTATTATTATTATTATTATTATTATTATTATTATTAGAAAAAAATGGTCAAATTGACCCCAAAGCCAAACGGATAGTGCGATTGAGTCGCTTTAAATAAAATAAAAAAAAAAATAGTTTCATTCAAGGGTTGCGTTCAGGTGCGAACTGTCTGCCCATGAGAGAAACGAGAATCATTCAGCGCCATCCACGTGTCCATATCTAAAGGATGAAAAGACTGAATTTAAAATAAAATAAAAAATACAGTGGCATTTTCGTAAATAACTGAACATCAAAGTGCAAGTAAAATGTATTACAAGTGTAAGTAACAGTTTCATATAGTGCACCTCAGTGCATGTAAAATGTATTACAAGTGCCGGTAAAATGTATTACAAGTGCAAGTAAAATTTACATTGAGCATCAAAACTAAATGCATCTAACGATATAGCTAGGTGCACCTATACTTATAAGTAGTTGCACCTACGTGCATAAATGTTAACAAGGTAAAATTACATGCACTTGTAAGTGATTTTACATGCACTTTTTACTTGCAAAGGTACACCGGCTACTTGCACTTAAAACATATTTACATGCACCAAAGTTTGAGTTATTTACGAAAATGTCACCGCATCGTTTTTTTTTTTAAATTACATCTGATTCATTGATCTGAACATGTAGACGACGCTAAATGGTTCTTATTTCTCTCTGAGGCGGCCATTCGCATGAGAGCCTGCCCCTTTCATTCAAACCTCTTAAATAACTTAAAATTTTCAATTGAATCTTAAATCAATCTATTTAGCCGGTTAGTGTTTCTTGGACCGACATGTGTCTCATTTTTTAATAATTCTTTTTTATTTTTACTTTTATTTTAAATTTTTTTATGAGATCGGATCTGTTGGATTGTTTTTCTAGCTGCCTTTATGACTTCACGTTTTGGTCGAGCACCACCGTCGGCGTCGACAGCTTTGCGATGGAGGTAGACAGAGGAAAGGGCTGCATTGAATAGCATTTATTGTTGGAAAATAATCGCAACGTCAACGCGCGAGCTAGAAACCTTTTAAGAAGCACGGACACAACAGGTGTATGTTGAAAGGAAATTTGTACCGTGTTATAATAACACTACCTTAAAAGCGTTATTTGTCCGGTAACGGTGCAATTAGAACCCTGACACGCTTTCGACAAGCTACACAGACTTAATACGGATAGCTTGCACTAGCAACTACGTAGCGAACCTGACTATATACATGCTCAGACTAGATGGTATGTACGAAATGAAGAAAGTCAAAAAAGAAAACTTCATTTTTGAGTGCATTCATCAACAGAGAAGTATACTATATTTATACTGATGGAGCTCTAAGCATGACCACACACTCACACAAATATAGGAAGATTTAACTCTTGACTTTGTTTTCTTTCATTCCCATGTTCACATGAATTGTATGGATGAGAAGCATGTGAACCCACAAAATTAGGACAAGGGATGATGACTTTCACGTTTGAACGTTTTTTCCCAACAATCCCCCACACGTTCAAAGTAAAAGGCTAGAAATGTAGTGTCTGAGCAATACAACGAGTTGATCTTAATGTCAGTGTTTGAGAACTTGAACTGACACATAATGACATTGAGTAATTTTCTTCCCGAGTGTGATATGAATCTTGAACTCACCGGTTAGATAAACTTTGAACTCTAATGCACACACGAACTCTATGAAGCAAGTTCTAGGAAAGTCAAACTCTTTGACTTCTTTTGAATAGTCTTAGTATTCAAGTCTGTTATGTCTATCTTAATATAAACCTCAACCTTGTCAAAGTCTATCTCAACATAGACTTTTAACTCTGACAAGTCTTATCGCATTATAGATATTTACGTCTTGTCAAGTCCATCTCAATATAGACTTTAGCTCTATTAAGTCTATCTCAGTATAGACCACCTCTAAAGGCTTATATAGTAGTAAAGACATAAATTAGTTGTAAGTCTTTTCTTTCTATCATAGACGACACTGTCTTTGGCAATGCAAACGACAGTTTGTGAATCACAATGTATATGTAGTGAAGGTGTTGGACACCCCCACAATTGCACGTTTATCAACATATTTCTTAGCCACTCAACTTCTTGGGATACCCCAAATTGTTTCATAAGAGGCAGTTAACCCTTTTTCCATAAGTCAGAGATCTCGTTAGGTTTACCTCAAAATAGACCACCCCAATTGAGTATAAGTCACTAAGAGCACTTTTGTACTCAAGTCATTATGCAGTGAATTCATTAGGTTTGTCTCAACAAAATCACCCTTCTCACAGAGTTTTGAATTCATTAAGAGCTGTAGCTCAGCCTCACAAGTACACACATTGTAGGAATGACCAACTAGTGTACTACTTTATAATTCTTTTCATGGCTTCATTTGACCACAAAAGTGGGATCCACCACGAATTCATTACCACTTGGACTTTAAGTCCTTCCAATGATTCAACGACTAATCCTCATAATTAGCCTTCAAGTAAATTGATTCTCTTGATCAAACTTACATGCACTTTGACGAGTACTTTGTTTACTCGTAAATAATCCCTTGAGATTTTCATGCTTAACATGAAACATTCTCTTTCATCATTATTCTCAATACCACAGAGAAACTTTTGGTGAAAATATAAGGACTTAATTACCCACACAATGCAACACTTACAAATATTTTCCTCAAAAGTATTTGATCTCTTACCCATATTGATCTTTGGTGCCCAACATTAGTTCCTTTGTAGACTGAGTTTTGCCAATTTGCTTTGTGGAGCATTATAGTAGCTTCGCACTTTGCTTGATACTTACTCTATAGTTGAATATATTTCAACAAACTTGGTTATCTCAACCCATCATAATTACCCTTTAAACAGGAATTATAATTCTTTCAAGATGACTAAACCAAGAATTTAAAGAATATATATACAAATGCTCATTGTCAGTAAGACATAGAGATAATGTTGTCCACATGCTACTTCAAGTTGAACAACATAATCACAAATTTCACATCATATTCTTACAAGAAATTAATCTCATACGTAAAGAATATGTTCACATTTATTAGGAAATATCTCTCAACAATGTGAATTCAACAAGTATAATTTTAACACTCAAAGTTGTCACCTGCACAACTTTTCCTTCACTTTAGGAGATTGAGACTCATATAAAGCATTCATATGATGCAGATCAATATTACTATTGCAGTACTTCAACAATTTCTATTGCAAGGCTTTAATTGTTTAACAATATATGAAAGTCAACATCATTTCAGGTGGAGATCAAGTGGCGCTCTAACTAGCCTGCATGATCAACACCTTACTTCTTAAGTACTCCCAGGTCGAGTGGTGAAACCGAAGTTTACTTAAAAACCATCTTCCTAGACAGAGTGTTCAAGAAATGATGACTTTTCCATGTTCTCATTAAATTACAATTGAAGTCTTTGATATATGCTCTTATTTTTATACAAATAATTTTTTAGTAAAAAATTTGAGCAATATCCATGCACAAAATTATTTCGATCAATGTCATTAGTATTCAACATACTAAAGAAATATATAAGTACTACTAAGTAATCAAAATCTAGACAACTCAACTAGTATTCAGTACTAAGACAATCATACTTCATGCGAGCCCTTAGAACTAGAGCAAATTAGAGTTACTCAAATAACTACTTATTTAAAGAGATGCAATACTCATCTTGCTCTGTCAGGTTGACTTCTACTAGTTTTTCCCTTGCGATGGTAGCACTAGTATGCTCGGTGTCCTTGCTTTCCGCACACAAAACATATTCTTTTGAACTTCTTGACTTTTCCACTCCTTTTATTATAGACATTTCTGACACTTTGATTTACAATATCATTGGCACCGTACTTTTCTGACAGTGATTCCCAAATGACTTTTGCCGAGTCTTGTTTGACATAAATGTCAAACAACTTGTCATTCATTTGTGACAAAAGGTATCCTCTGGCTGTCGCATTGTCATTTCTAAACTGCATCAGAGTTACACCCAGTTCTTGACCAGGAATGTAATCTATTTCAAGGCTGTTTTCTCTCGATTCTTCACTCGGAGTGTAATCAGGTTCATGGCTAGCTTTTCTAGCACCAAGAAGAGGGAACACTGCTGGAGTAGGTTCAGGTGCAACTGAATACAGCATGTAAACCAACTTTAGTTGTTCGAAGAGGATACGCATTCTTTGAGCCCACCTTCTGTAGTTTTTTCCATCAAGTGCAGTGATCTTGGATAGATCGGGTATGAC